ACCCTCGTCCCTATTGGAATACTCAATTTCCACAAAATGCTTGTTTGAGGCATATTTCTCGCTAGCAAAATCATGCGCCGCCATTCACAGAAACAGATAGTAATCACTCGACGCTAGGTCCAAACTATAAGGTGGACGCATAAGACCCTAGCAACAACAAAGCTACCGGAGCTGCTGGCGAAGCACTATCGATGCGTGCGGCCAGGCGTTGTCCTGATGAAACAAACTTATAGAAACAAAGATACAGATTACTACCAGCTTTTATACATATATACCTATTACAAAGATATACAGACTTTAAATCAAACATACATCCTATAGCTCATAAATTGCTTTGGTAACCTTACCAAAAAGAGTTCTTACCAATCGGTTACAATTTGGTTAAGATTCCAAAACATAAGACTTTGACTGAGCCCTACATAGTACGACAGTCCTGGCATCATTTCCGAATATAGCTTAATTCAAAACACCGAGCGAACCCAATGGCTTCACAGTTTACTTTCTAAAACGGGAAATTAATAGTTATAGAGCTAAAGGATAGGGACAAAACATATATGTACTGAGGGACAGCGAAGTGCATTAAGTAAAAAAGGAGTTTTGTTCGCTTCTATAATATCCCTTCAAAAACTGATAAGAAATTGAGAAGAAAACTAGGTAAGAACTATACAAAGTGAATTAACTAGAGTTTTCCGAGACAGACGGGTGATATACAAGTAATACAATATATTGTGTATATAACTTTTATTTTTTTTCGGACCTTATTACAGAGTTTGATTATCTGTAGAGAGTTAATACTCCGAAATTATCTTCTGTAAAGGGCACTTTACTAACGCCTTGTTCAGATTTGCTAGCAAATAATTCAATAACACTTGTACCTAGCGTCTTCAGTCCAACAAATGATGGCATAGAGCGCATAGAGCTCTTTTCAAATATATCACTCCCCAACGATGGCTACTGAATTCTTCAGCATTATTATTTTTATCTCATAGAAAAAGCACTACCGAGAGAACCTTAAGATAAGAACAGATGAAGACCGGAATGCCATGGTTGAATACATATGATAGGTATACTACCATAGATGGTGCTGAAAAGAATTATTCAAAACTTGATAGAGAATCAATTTCAATTTATACTTTAGACATTAAAAATAGATTTAGGTAAACTGCTTGATTATTATGTGCTAGAAAAGACAGTATCGTTTTTCTCTAATCAAAGGGCAATATAAGTGTGTGATCATAAATATCGAGATTTTTCATATTTTTATCAGGTAATAAACATATTGAAAACATTTATTATATATATCTAGTTACAACAGAGATTTGACAAGCCTTTCATTTAACAATAAATTTGCCATTAAATTGTTTTATCAAAATGTTGCCAATATTTCCTTAATATGCTGCCCATAATGTAGTATTTCATTTAGTTATTTATCAATTTCACTTAATAGATCTTAAAATATTCGTAATAGTATTCAAATTTTAACCAATTATAAAATTCAAGCAAGTCGCAACACTCCTAATTAACTTTTCCATATGTTGGTCATTTTAAGAAAGTGTTGTAGCAATTTATTTACAATCTTTAGCAAATGAAAATAAATAAACAGGTGGCCACTTTCTTAAAAATTATCAACCCTCTCTAAAAATGATTTCCTCATAAAAGCCCCTTAGTTCGGAGATAGTGTTATACAAGTAGTAATTTATTTTGTCAATCTTAGCCAGTTAAAATGAATTAATTTAATTAGGTGGCAACGCGCTCCAAAAAATTTCCTCGTGTAAGTCATCTTAAACTTATTTTGTTTGAAACCCCCCAACTTTTTTCCCGGGGAGGGGCTGATGCATTTCGCATCATCATTGTGTCGCTACAGCTATGATATTATGTGCCATAAGGAACCGTGACCCACCCTGGGACCGCTTTCGCATTTCTTCGAGTTATTTTTTCTATATTCTCGTCTTAAGGCATACCATGTTTTTAACCGTAGTACGTTTTCTATATAATTCCTCAAGTTCTTCCAGTTTTGCTCGTTTTGAAGCATGACAGTTGCATTCAGGTGACCGACCAAAGTGGGCAGCCTATTTTGCTCTGGTTGCAAGCGTATGCATTTGAAAAATGTTTATTCAGCGTTGTATATACATGATGGTTCTTCGGCTTTTCCCAGTTTATGTAGATATTTCCTAAAATATCCGTGCCCAGATAACATCTGTGTAATATAATAATCCCCTCGCCTTGTTTCCTACTGAATCACTCTTTTACTCTATCGAACTTGTCATCGTTCTAAGGTGTGATTTTTTATTTCCTCTTTTGTGGTGGGGACATTTGCTTATTGTTCCTTCAACGTCCATATTTTCTTCCTTCTTCTTCTGTGTCGGTGAAACTCACTTTGAATGTTGCTGTATCTTACTAATTGTGTTTGCAAATATTATATATCGTAACCTTGTTTCCTATTTTGCTTTGAACCTTCCGCATATTACCCCGAACAATCAAACATGATTATTAACGAACGTTTATTGGAGGTGTGGTATCTGATATCCGCTTGGTAAGAACCAACCAACCAATTTATTTTGAAAATAAATTATACAAAAAATAAACTCCTAAAAATTTTCATTATTTTAGTTCATGTTATGCAGTGACTAACATTATAGACATTTTGCATTATCTGTGGCACATGCAACACGCATTGCGCTGTGTCCGGCCGACTAAGTCCAAATCAATGCCAACGATGTTTTTGTCAGTGTCCGCGTCGGTGTCGGTGTCGGTGTCTGTGTCCGATGTCTCGTTTTTGCTCATCATGTACGACGATTCGTCACTCAAGTTGACAAACGATAAGGATCGCATTTGCGCTAAACATGCAATAAATGCACACATAAATATCGCATCAAACAAACTGAGATACACGCATAAGCACAACAACAACACTAACGACGACGTTCGACAGACGGACATGTCAATTGTCACACAAACAACGGCAGCCAAAAACATAAAAAAACAGGAAGAACCGAACGGAACGCAAGAAGCTGCGCGCGGCAGCGAACGGGCGAGATCATCAAAGATGCAAATGAGGCGCGAATTGCGGCCAATGCGGCATGCACTTGCGCACACAAGCAATGAGACGCGCGACGCGTTGGCAGCAGCGCGTTGCGATGCGATCGATGGCGCGTTGGAGCGATTAGAGTTGGACAGCCAAACAGATCATCGCATCGATCTTTAGAGTCGAGCGCTCGGCGAGCGCTTAGCTAGAAGTGGCGGCTGTGGGCAGATTAAGGCATGAAGCACATTGTTGATGTTGAAAGTGAGATATGTATGCATGCGCGTCGGCCAAACAACTCTTTTAGCGCGGGGTGTTTTTTAATTAAAATAATATGCCTACTCAAGTTTCGATTGTGATCACGCATACGAAACGAACACTAGCGCGCTGGCGACTAACGACAGCTAACAAACGAACGGATAAACGAGCGAATGGCGCGACCATAAAAGGCGCGTAAAAACGTAGCACAATGCGCTGGTGGTTGCAACATTGCGCGCTCTGGCGATCCATGCGACTGGAGTTTTTTTGCTGTTGTGCATATAAATAAAGCAATACTCAAAATGCAAGCATAAATAGAATGAAATTGCGCGTGTGTGTGTGTTGGCGCATCAATCGCCCAGCAAATATATTCGATTGTCGCAAATGTCGATAAACAAAGAACACGTCTGCATAGATGGGTGGATGGGTGGCTGCTTCATCGAACGTACGGTATAAATGGGCAATCTGTGCACGGACATCGGAAATGTGTATTGTATTTGCAAGCCTTTGGTACTCGTACATGGGCGATATGCGAGGAGTACGCGATAAGCAGCAACGCTCTGAAGTGTCTTTTAAAAATAGATAGCGGGATTTAAACAGCGCGACATGATGCGTGAAATATTTGTTATATGTATACTCGTATATGTTCACTTTATTGGTCTTATTTTAGATATGTTTGAGTTTATTTATGCATATCTTCTATTTTCTCAATCGCAACAAGTGCACCACCGACACAAAGCAAAACATTAATTAATTGTGTAGGGATTATAAATACTATGGGTGATTGATAACATGTTCTGGACTTAGATGGCTATCGGTAATCCCTTTAATTGATCAGATGATTAGGGCATTGTATTTTACCAGTAAAATAACATGGAGGGCTTGCTCGGTTATACATTGAAAATAGGACAGGGCAATGCTCATTAAATTAATTTTAAAATTTTAGCTTCCAAATGAACAATTTATTGCACAACATTTTTCTTTACAAACAGCGTGCGCGCCACATATCTAATAATGGTCGAAATCGGACTATACTTTGTCATGCCTTAGGGCACCGAAAACCTTAGCACATATGGGTCTCTATATATCAAAAACATAGGTCAATTTGTGAGATATGTACTTTAATGAAATTCACTGCACATATTTCTCTGATAATTCACTTACTGTTTCTTAATAATAAAACAATTAGTTCAGTGTTTCCTCTAGCCATATATCTAAAATAACGTTGGCTAAATTATATTGCTTAAATATTATCCAAAGCATACATTAGTTTAACACGATATATACTTGTGGATTTCAAAAAAATCGATTTTTTTTGGCTTATATAGTGAATGTCCATATATTTGATAATATTCTTCGAAAATTTGAAATTAATCTAGAAAATAGTTTCGAAGATATGAGGACATATGTAAATGTTTTTATCATAGTGTAGGTGGTTCCCAAACTTTAAATGCGTCTTCTCGAAAGATTGTCTTCAGAGTAGATCAGGAAAATATTTACGAAACATAACTTCTTAGATATATTTGTCAGATAATGGTCAAAGTTAAGAGATTTTTGATAATAATTTAAATTTTTAACGTTCTATGAAGTGTTAATTTTTTCACAAATAGCGCTTTTTTTTAAAAGACACCATTTTGTCAAAAACCTAAATTTTGACTAATGCTGTTATTACCTGTTTTCATTAATTGTACAATAATATAACTTTTTGTTTGGATTATAGATAATTTTATGCAGAAAAATTTTCATCATCGCCAAACACATTTTTTCAGAGCTCCTCTTGGAAATCGGCTACGGGTCAAAGGAAACCAAAAGTTTTCTAAATGAATCACCACTTATTAAACTACATTAAATTCTGTAAATAAAATGCTTTCTCTAAAAACAAAAGAATCATGAAGAACGCATTTTTCTGCGACACATTTCCGTAGTCACTTCGGTTCTTCGTTTGACTTTATGCAGAATACATCGGTAAATATGTCAAATATTTTAGTAGCCTTAAGCGACTAATGCGGTGTGATGCCAACAATTTATGAAAACGGTCATTATATTATTCTAACTTCCATGAAAATAGCACAATGATTTTCGCCATGTTGGTTGTTTCTGATAATATTTCAACTGATAACAAAGTTTTACTCGAAAATATCTCCTGGGCTATTGATTATGGCTAATTGCGAGTTATAGAATGTTCGGCTGCACCTGAACTGAGCCTACCGCTAACAGCCAAATATATGATCGCTGACTTGTTATTGTAACGGCAGAAAATATTCGATAAAAAATTTTGAGGAAAACATATGTTGACAAGCTAAGAAACGGAAATGTGATAAAAAACGAATAAATTTTTGAGTATAAAGTTTAAAGATGCGAATAATGGCAGTGGCGTTTACTTATCTACAGTGCGATCAAATCGCGGAAAAGAGTTTTTATTTATTCTGCAAATTAACACATGTTTAATTGTGATCATAGACGCTTACAATTTGGTCAGTTTTTTTCGAACTTATGTGGCACGTTCTGCTGTGAAAGAAGAAAAATAAGTGATTAGTAAAACAGCAGCCTTTCTAACGAAGCATCCTAAACCGACCGATCAAAGGAAACCAAAGCGTGTGCTGAATATCGCGTATATATGGTATTTATTGAATTGAAAAAGGGGCAAGCCTCTTACAAAATTTATCTAGGCTTTAAAAGCATTCCAGTTTAAGATTATTATATGAAATGTAGAATTAGGATATGGATGGTAGAATTAGTAACATAACAAAATATCTCGCTTTTTTGTGTTATAAAAATTATTTGGGTCTTCTATCAGATAATTCCATAAAAATATTGAATACTTTTTTAATCTCTTTTGAACACATTAAAAAAAAAAAAAATCCGAACAAATACAGTTATGCGATTACTTACATACCCATTAACTTATTTACAAGATTATTAGAATTTAAATTTGAAGTCATTTGTAGAATCAAATCAGCACTGTCAACAAGCGCGCTCACCTGCGTCTCAATCCACCTCAACACCCGATGTATTCGAAAATAAACGATTTTGTTGTAATCCTCACGCCGAACAATACAAATAAATTCGATAAATAATAAGCTTAAAAACAACTAATTGGCGACAATAAATCAGTGACTTGAAAGGCTTCAAGCCGGAGATACGCTTAGCCGGCGCACAATGCATAACGAGCTAGAATCCGTTGTTTGCTTTTATTGGAAGAACGCGCCAATAAAAAAAAAAAATAAAAAGAGTTGAAAGTGCCGTTGAAAAAAAAGTGGATAAAAATTCAAATTTGGGCCAAGCGGTTGCGTTTGTTCAATAAGCTAATACCGACAAATCTCCAAACAAACGAACAAAACAACGACAACAATGTCATTCTTATCATTGAACAGCCGAAACGCTAATAAAGTTGTGCGCCCGTAATGGAAGTAAGTATGTCGGTTTGTGCGCGTGACGGCAAGCGCGCGACCCAGAGACACACGGCCGGACACATGTCAATAACACAAGCAGCTGCAACAGCAACAACAATATAATATTTGAATAGTAGACAAGTGGATGTCAATAGCTCTCGGGTCACTGCTTCTATATTTTTATTCACTGATACCTGCTAAGTTTTTGTGCGCAGCCTTTGTGCCGCGAGCTTTCTTGATTTAGAAGCGCTTATTTGTTTCTTTTCCATATGACAGGTAGGAGGGAGCTAAGCCGGACATTTTTACTAGCGAAGACCCTGTAGAAATTTGCTTTATATAAGTGAGTCGGAAATGCAGATATAGATATAGATATAGATATAGATACAGATATAGATATAGATATAGATATAGATATAGAT